TTTTGGTATAGTGCAGGATGCTTTTTGCGAGTACAACAGTCCTATCGTATTCAGATGGTTGTTGGAGCAAGGGATCTGCTCTTGTTCACAGTGTGTTTTTCAGAGTGACAATAGAATGGATCTCTTCGGCAATGAACGAGCCCTGAGACAATAGAGCTCGCGAAGGCTGCAGCTATCAAGGGCCATGCTCACCGCGACCCACGATAGAATCGCCAAACACCCACTAGTACAGAGACCTACACTAATTACTCCTTTTATAGAAAACAACTCACCTTGCTGATCTTGTATGCAAGAGAACCGAGCTCGCCAGAACCGTCTTCATTCCCCTTTATAGACGCCCAGAAACTAGAAATATTCACAATAGCAGCACGGTCAATCCCCAATGGTCTCCTTCACCGTGAGAGGACGCTTTACGGAGCAACGGCAAAAAAGTCTGCAATAGCAAGAAAAGGAATTCTAGGAACTCTTCAATTTATCTTTAGATGAAAACACCTGAGCAGACCAATCACAAGAAAAATCACTGAAAATGAAAACAAACCTGACTGACGATGGCGGTTCCTAGAACATTGGTATTAACACACTTCATTAAGGTATCCCGACAGATGGCTCCATTTGTAAAATAAGGCGGCAAGATGGCCGCATTGTTCAACAGCACGTTTAGCCCGCTCTCACCAACTACGGCCTCTACCTTAAATACTTTTCGGACCTTCCATAAGAAAAACTTGAAAAATGAAAACTTATTACCGTTCCAATGAGCTCCTCTCACCGTTTGAAGAGAAAACTAACCTGCTTGTATGCGTCTTTGATGGACTGATCACAATCGATATCAATTTTGACGATACTCAGTCGCTTATCGGTAATTGCATTCAGCTCCTGAACAAAGGTCTCGTGCATTCCTCATGTTTCCGATAAACTTAGCAAACTTCAATTTCTCTGCCAAGGGGGACTTTCCGGTCATGGAAGCGCTTTTACGTGTGAAAGCAAAGCTGTGGACCACTGAAATGAGGCCTCCTTTTCCTGCAATCCCCTAGGAATGTCAAAGAAAGGGAGAACAGAAAGTTGATAGTTTGAATACCCATGGATGACAGAATTTTCAGTTCTGTAATCTTTTCTGGTCGTGTCTTTGCCCGCATGAAAACGTGTCCAAAAAGGGTAGGTAGTGCCGTTGGTGGAAATGGTGCGAAGTTCGAATCCTCTCATAAGTTCCTCCTCTTTGTGACCAAATTCGGATCCACCCAGAATTACGATTCTCTAACGATCCCCCCATCCCTCATTCCAGCAACTGTCTTCCCGAATTTCCCTCCACTTTTTCGCAGATTTTTTCAAACCGCGCGGGACAAACAGCTTACTTGAAAATAACTGGAAGAACTTTTCTCAAAATAAGTATGACTCCAGCGACCAGATACGATCACACTTGTTGGGAATTCCTAGCATTTGACGTGCCCTGGTCCAAAAACACTCACATTTTTGTCAAAGAAAGGAATACATTCACAGAGTTTACCATGGGCTTGAACGATTACCCCCTTAATGACAATCGAAAAACATTCAGAATATCCTAAGAAAAACCTACCTCAGCATTATCTGGATTCCTTGCGCCAGCAATCACATGCTTCACGGCCGGAACCTTCAAAAATTCACGAACCAATCCTAATCCAATGCCTCTATTAGCCCCAGTAATGAAGACAGATGCAGGATACACCATCTAAAAGTCACAGTGAGAACGCAGACTTTATTGGACACAGCCGCTACAAAAAAAAAAACGGGAATCTAGCGCACGTGAACATCGTAGCTATACAATATTCATTCATCGACCGTGTTTCATAATTAAGATACATCATCGATGTTCCAAGCCAAGGCTGTCTACTGCCCGAAGCGCCTCTCCTCTTATAGATTTGGTCAACGTTCACTATGAATCACCAGCAGGGCATAACACCCAAAAGGCAAATGCCGCAGTGCACTCGACCTGAATATATTGTATTGATCGATGGTGTACACAATTTCCCGTACATATTTTCTTCTTTAAGATACTGAGATTCCCATTGCCAAGTGCGACAACGGACAAAGACAGCCTCCTGTCAAGGTTTTGTATCTTTCGGCCTCTTCCAACAGCGCAGACCAAGCAAAAGCCCCTCCAAATTTCCCAAGCGGAAAAAAATTATGCCTTAAGGGAAAAACACAATAGTGAATTTGAGATACTCATCAACAACGAAACAACGACGTGATACAGCAAGCGAGGTGACACCAAAACAAACTAGGTATTTAATTTAATTTCGAATATCAGAGGAATTGATACGTTATGCACGTCCACGAAAGCTATCGCTATTCTTCAATAACGTCTCCTTTCGCACCCAAACGTTGCGGATTCTTGACCGGATAGTATATCCTTGCTTGTCGACCCAAGAACTGCCAGCGCTTCTGTACGTTCCTCGCCCGTAAGAGTAGACGTACCTACAAATATATGACTGCTCGAATAAGAGCTGAAAAGTTGGGGCGCGATTCGGCTTGCGTGGTGAGGGCAGCGAGTGGTATTCAGCGAGGCCTGCACAGGGCACCTTGTTAAGTTCAGTAAATCCTCGTAACTAAAGTAGCTTAGTTACCATTTCGCGGTTTCACAAGTGTCTACAGGTTTCACCAAATCGAGGCGTGTTGCTTGACATGAACTAATGTAACGAACGAGCAAAAATGCAAAATGCCCCTCCCAATCCGAACAGCGCCGAATTCGCCACGTAGCGTGGGAAGTCAACGTAAAAGCCCCTTCAACCGCATAGCATAGGATGAGCATCTACCACTAAAGAAAGATGAAAAAATGAGTACACTGAACTTACTACAACTGAACGCTTGAATAGTAAGACAAACCTGTCGGAGGCCGTGATGGTGGAACAACAAGCTTTGTAGGAGCTGCAAATGTAGGAGGTAAGGGTGGAAGAGGGATGTTCAGCGGATCGAGACGTTGACGCTTAGAACTAGATGGTGCCAAATCTTCAGGAACCGGGCACGCTGAAAGGAACGGCATTGATATATTGGTAGTAACAAAGTGAAGGTAAAGCAAAAGCAGAAAATCCAAGTATTGAAAAAAAGCAAGTGTAGTTACAGGTCTCCGACAAGAACTAACGATAAGTGAGTAAAACCTCATGGTTGACGGAGGCGTCCTTTGCCAACCATGGGTGTTTCTGTTTCTGTTATGTTTCACCCCCTCCCCCTCCAGGGCGGGGGGAGGGGAGGGGGTGTAATCCAAAGAACCACTCAAGCACTACCGAGGTCACTGTTAAGAATGGATCAATAAACTTGAAATTTGTACACCTATATGGCACCTTCGGTTACGGTGCTGTTGTCAACCAGATGTGCTCTCGAGAGGCTT